CTCTCTCTCTCTCTCTCTCTCTCTCTCTCTCTCAGTAATGGTGATAGTGACAACAATGAGAGATACTGATGATGATGATAATAATAACAATAACTATAATGATGATGATGATGATAATAACTATAATGATAATGATAAATGATGATAACAATAACTATAATGATAATGATAACCAATTAATGATAATGATGGTAATAATAATAATAAGTAATGATGATAATAATAATGATAATAATGATAAAATGATAATGATAATAATCATATAATAATGATAATAATAGGGACAATAATGATAATAATGATATAATGATAATAATAATAGGGACAATAATGATAATAAAGCCGACAATGATTATAATAATACTGATAATGATAATGATAACAATAATAAAGTTAATTAAGACTATATACACCAATAAAGGGACAGAGAGAAGCAAGGTAGTAAACAGAAAAGGAGAAAAGGGGCTACACAACACAAGAGGCATGATGCGAGTATACATGAATTCATAAACGCATTTCAGCGACTAGAAAAGCGAATAATCACGGTCTGTGTTTACAAATGGTGTTGGAACTACCGCTGCATATGCCATGAGGGGCGTATTAATCATGCATGGTGCTTTAAGGGCAGATTTTAAGTAGTCGAGAAAGAGGCTTAGAGGGGGGGGGGGGGAGAGAGGATGGGAGAGGAAGGGAAGGAAATAAGGGAGCGAAGGAGGAGAGGGAGTTTAAGGAGGAAGAGAAGGGAAGGGGACGAGGGAGCGAAGGAGGAGAGGGAGTTTAAGGAGGGAGAGAAGGGGAGGGGACGAGGGAGCGAAGGAGGAGAGGGGACGTAAGGAGGAAGAGAAGGGAAGGGGACGAGGGAGCGAAGGAGGAGAGGGAGTTTAAGGAGGAAGAGAAGGGAAGGAGACGAGGGAGCGAAGGAGGAGAGGGGATGTAAGGAAGAAGAGAAGGGAAGGAGACGAGGGAGCGAAGGAGGAGAGGGAGTTTAAGGAGGGAGAGAAGGGGAGGGGACGAGGGAGCCAAGGAGGAGAGGGGACGTAAGGAGGAAGAGAAGGGAAGGGGACGAGGGAGCGAAGGAGGAGAGGGGACGTACGGAGGAGGAGAAAGGAATGGGACGAGGGAGCGAAGGAGGAGAAGGGACGTAAGGAGGAAGAGAAGGGAAGGGGACGAGGGAGCGAAGGAGGAGAGGGAGTTTAAGGAGGAAGAGAAGGGATGGGGACGAGGGAGCGAAGGAGGAAAGGAGGTAAGGAGGTAGAGAAGGGAAGGGGGCGAGAGAGCGAAGAGGGAAAGGGAGTTTAAGGAGGAAGAGAAGGGAGGGGGGCGAGGGAGCGAAGGAGGAGAGGGAACGTAAGGAGGAAGAGAAGGGAAGGGGACGATGGAGCCAAGGAGGAGAGGGGACGTAAGGAGGAAGAGAAGGGAAGGGGACGAGGGAGCCAAGGAGGAGAGGGGACGGAAGGAGGAAGAGAAGAAAAGGAGACGAGGGAGCGAAGGAGGAAAGGGGACGTAAGGAGGAAGAGAAGGGAAGGAGACGAGGGAGCGAAGAGGGAGAGGGGACGTAAGGAGGAAGAGAAGGGAAGGAGACGAGGGAGCGAAGGAGGAGAGGGAGTTTAAGGAGGAAGAGAAGGGAAAGGGACGAGGGAGAGAAGGAGGAGAGGGGATGTAAGGAAGAAGAGAAGGGAAGGAGACGAGGGAGCGAAGGAGGAGAGGGAGTTTAAGGAGGAAGAGAAGGGAAAGGGACGAGGGAGAGAAGGAGGAGAGGGGATGTAAGGAAGAAGAGAAGGGAAGGAGACGAGGGAGCGAAGGAGGAGAGGGAGTTTAAGGAGGAAGAGAAGGGAAAGGGACGAGGGAGAGAAGGAGGAGAGGGGACGGAAGGAGGAAGAGAAGGGAAGGAGACGAGGGAGCGAAGGAGGAGAGGGAACGTTAAGGAGGAAGAGAAGGGAAGGAGACGAGGGAGCGAAGGAGGAGAGGGGACGGAAGGAGGAAGAGAAGGGAAGGAGACGAGGGAGCGAAGGAGGAGAGGGAGTTTAAGGAGGAAGAGAAGGGAAGGGGGCGAGAGAGCGAAGAGGGAGAGGGGACGTAAGGAGGAAGAGAAGGGAAGTGGGAGGGAGCAAGTGTAGGGCATAAAGAGGGAAGGGAGGAGAGAATACGACTATAAAGAAGGTTTGGGAGTGAAAGGAGGTGGCAGAGCGGGAAATGGAAAGGAAAAGGGAGATGAAAAGGAAAAAGCGAGAGGAAATGGAAAAATGGAGAGGAAAAGATAAAGGGAGATTAAAAGGAAAAGCGAGATGAAAAGGAAAAAGGGAGAGGAATGGTTAATGGTTAAAAGCAAAATAAATGTGCTAGACATCTAAGGTCATAAAGCACTATAGTAAATGTTAGTGAAGGGTGGTTAAGTTAGTGATTAGTTGTCAAAGCTGGGTAAAGGAATTGGTGAGTGTATGGGTTAAGGTCGGGTGAGGTAATGTAAAGGGGTTAGATTAAGTGAGGGATATTTATGCGTTTGAGAGGAAAACAGGTTGTCGAAGCAAAATAGGTTGGGAGGTCAGTGAAGGGAGGATAGGTGGGGGGAAGCAGAGGTACAGGCTGCTTCAAAACGTGTGCATGACAATAGAATGTGTGGGACTGAAAGAGGAACATTACATAAGGAGCATAGGGGTGGATCGGATTGTGACATCAGATAGGAGTGTATCAGACGGGTGTGGAAGGGGATACTTGTGATATAAGGGATTCACGTGTGTATCCAGGAGGGAGTGGAAGGGATAGAGGGGATGGTGGGAGGGTTAACGTGGGCGGGGTGGAGTCGGGGGGATGGGCTGTGTTGGGAGGGGGTAGGAGGATAGGGTGTAGGGGGGATATCGTTAGGAGGAGGATGGATATCGGCAGTCACTTGGTATATGGAGAGAGCAGGAGTTGTGGGATTTGAAGGTTGATGAGTGTCAGTTTTCATTAAGTAGTCTTGAATATTTTCAATTTCAGTTTCTTCAATGGAGTTGGTTGGGGAGTTTTGTGAGATAAAAGGATTTCTTGTGAGGGGGGAAGAGAAGACTGGTGTCTCAAGAGTAGGGGCAAAGGAAGGTGGAGGTGATTGTGTGGTAGGGGAAGAGGGGGTGAACGTTTGTTCTGTCTGTTGTGGGTAGTGCGAGGAGGGAGAGAGGAAGGTGTTGGGGTTGTAGTGGAACTTGGAGTGTCTGTAGTAGAGATTGGAGTGTCTGGATTTAGGATGACAAAAGAGTTTGACTGGGGAAGGTAGGAGGTAGAAGAGGGGGAGTTAGATGGAGGGGGGGTAGGTTTAGGAGAGAATGTAGGAGCTTGGGAGGTAGGGGAAGTGGTAGAATGAGCAATATTACTGGAGTAAGGATTAAGAGAAAAACCTCGTCGACATGCTTCCTGTCTGGCTTCACGTAGTGTGAGTCCCAAGTTTGAATCTGAGAGTTGCTACCTCAGACTCAAATTTGTAGGTGGGGCAGCCCCTATAAAATACATTATGAGGGCCACCACAGTTGGCACATGTGCGTGATTGTGCAGAGCAGTTTGATCGATTATGGCCAAGTTGGGCACATAGTGGGCATCTGACTGTGGAACGGCAATGTTTGGCTGGGTGTCCTAAACGCCAACAATTTTGGCACTGACGAGGATGAGGTTGGCATGGTCGGACAGGGAGGGATTCTCCACCTATGTAAACATTAAATGGAAGGTCATGTCTACGGAAAGTAATTTTGGCAATGTTAGTGGGTTTCTTACGATGACCTCTGGGAGGAATGGAGTAGCATTGTACTGATGTCGCATCATAGTCTGTGAGACAGGCGAGTAAGTCTTCTCCACAATTTGACCAATCTTTGTCATAGATTGGGCAATTTGCTGGGGAGATAGAAACAGTTCCGATGCAAGTATTGAGGGGTGGATGGGGTTCTTCAAGGATGGGGTTACCATATAGATCAGTTAGTTTTGGTAATGCTATAGCTTGGTTTTCAGATGTTACTGTGACGAGACGGGAGCGGTCGGGTCGGCTACGGAAAGAGACTTTGCCTACTTGTTTATGGAGACATTGTTGGAAGAGAAGGGCGTTGTTAGAGTAGGGAGCTGTGGGAGGGATCGCGAAAAATCGGTCCCATTAGGGGTAGTAGAAGGGCGGGGGCGTGTCGAAGCGGGAGTAGTGTTGAGGGAGGTAGTGTTATGGAGAGGTGGGCAATAAGGCTGTAAAGTATTAATAAGGGAGGATGGGGTAGTTGATGTAGAAGGTTGTAGAGGTAGAGGTGTTGAGCATGATGGGAGAGTAGGAATGTCTCTAGGGGGTTGAGTGTTGACTACTGTACTAGTAGGCATTGAGTAGGGGGTAGTTGTTGCAGTGTTCGGAGCCATGATCAAAGGAGAGCCTGAGGTCAGGGAATCGGGAGGATTTGAATTGTTGGGGCCATTTGACGAAGGGGCAAGCCTCATTGCCCCTAATAGTGGAATTACGTTTTCATTATTGGCCATGGTAAGCCTGGAGTATGTTGGGGAGAAAAACAGTCCACCCCTCAGGGTCCCCTTGAGGGGTAAG